AGTGGAAAATGTAAATCCCTTCCCTCCAAATTGCTTTAAATTTTAAATTAAGGGGCTCTCGGGCAAAAAACATGGGAGCAGGAAATAACAGTTCTTTACTAGGGAAGAAAATTTAAAAAGATAAAATAAACAATGCAGTGAACTAAACAACACTGACAGAGTCAGAACAGAACCCGACACCCTGTGGGTCAGGGTGTTGGTAGCAGTCCAATTGGAATTGTGGTTGCAGTCCTCCTGGAGTGTCAGGTGTGGTTCTGTTGGAGCAGGGGTCCTGTAGAAAGGTGTAGTCTTCCTCTGAAGATCCAGTGGAAGAGGCAGCTGTTCCTCTGGGAAATCCAGTGGAGGAAGCCAGGCTGTGTTCCAGAATCTCAAGATTATATCTGGGTAGCAATGCTTGGCTCCTCCCTCTGGGCGGAGGATGCTCTGGGATGCTCTAGTTCTTATCAGTCACGCAGTGACATCCAATAGCCTGTTATCAGCAGATGTCTCCTCGGAGGGAGGAGTGGTTGTGGAAGAGATAAAGAAAAGTGCCCACTTAGAAGACAACTGCCATACAGATGGCAAATGGAATAGAATTTGCTTGGCAATCCAGGACAGGCCACCATTAATGTATCATCACAAGGTGGTAGCACTAGCAGAGACGTCCATAAGACATTTGAAAACATATTATCTCTTAAAGTATTTCCTCTTCTCTGGTACTGTAAAAATAATGCTGTTAAACTGCACGAATTTCTGGAAGCAAGAGGTTCTTCCTCAGCAATGCCAATCAGTCAAAAACCCAGCAGGCCAGCACCTCTGAAGAACAAGCCCTGTACACATGAGTGCTGCTCGATGGTAGAACAGCTTGGGCAGCTTGTGACTGGAAATTCAGAAACACAACCACAAAAAGAAGGCCACGAGTAGGGCTATGCCTTTAGGTCCGTGGGAAGCAGGACAGACTGGAATATCACTGTATTTGCAATTACTGATTGCCAGAACTTTTTCTTCAGCTACTGTTGTAAAATGTTATAGCCTCAAGAAAATGAAGATCAGATCTCTCACCATTTAACCTTAAACTTTTGAGAAAAAGTGGAAAGTATAAACAAATGCAAAAGTTCACATGTAGCTGAGAATACGAAATATTACAAAAAATGTAATTGGTTTATATGTAATATGTTTATTTGGTTGAATTTATGTATATATTTAAGTGGGCATGGATTAAAGCAGTTGGCTTTATTTTTTTATATTATTTAAGAATGCTGACAGAAAACTGCACCTGCCAGACTGAAGTTGTGTTAATTTATTGCGCTTGGTAATTGAACACTGACAAGGCATAATTTTAAGTTGCCCCATGATTTGGAACATTTTAATGTACAACAATTTAAAAAACCAATTGTTTACCACCCAAAGCCAGTTTTCTGCATCACTAAAGTTGCCCACAGCTGTCCTATGCCCTTACTTGTGTTTGAAGCTGTGGCAGGATATGGGATTAAATTTGCTGTGCTGTGGGGCTTCAGCCACTTGTGTCTATGCTGGGTGTAAGAGAAGGGCCTAAGTTTAAGCCAGTCTTGTCCCACACCTGATGTTCTCAGCCTGGCTCCCTGACAGCACACTTGCACTGGATTTACAGAAGTAGAGCTGGTGGCATTTGGACCAGATTGAGAGCAGAGATCAACACATATCTACTGAGGCCATGGCATGGTGTAGAGAAATTTGCTGGCTTCAGTGGGATTGTGGAAATATAAACTGGAAGTAGGCAACTTATTTATCAGTCTACTAGAGGAGTAAAAGCAAGATTTACCCCATAAGACAGTGCTTTAACTGGCTGAGACAAAGCACTGTTGTGATCATTTATTTATTATACCTTTAAATTTGCCACCTTACCAGTTTTAGAAGGCACCTCAGTGATACAGTTAGCAGTGATGGTTGGCCTTACTGGCTAAAAACGCCTATTTTTTTTTTTTATTCAAATACATCCACCACCGCTGATTTGGTAACTGGAAAAGATGCCGGACAACTTGAGAATGTGAGCACCTTGCCATGGTTGAACTGGCACCACCGTGTGGCCAAGCATATCCCAGCAGGAGTATTGCATTTGAGGTAAAGAGCATAAAATCAGCAGGGTAAGATTTCTTATGCTCTCAGCCACCAACAGAGTGCAACTTAGCGTCCATTTCAGCCTCAGAGCCCTCCTGCAGGCCAGCAATTGGAAGCAAATTAAGTGCATTTTGGAAACCACCGTTGCTTTATTTGGCAAGGACTTCTCATTATGCTTCATTTGAGACATAAAAGTTGGAGGTAAGGCAATATTTGTATTGGATATTATTGTTCCCAAAGCACAGGTTGAACCTCTCTATTAGGTCAGCAGTGATACCTCCCAGCCTGCCAAAATTTCTGCCCTGGTTTAAATACCAAATTCATCACATCACCTCCCTAATTTGCACTTTTCAGAATCTCAGTATTTATAAAACCTTTTTTCAGATAAATGGAATTTGTGTTGTGTGTGTCAATTCAGACTTCCTACAGTCCATGGGATTGGAATTCAAATAGTTCTAAAGCCAAGCAGTTCACTGGGCTGAAGGAGTGATCAGTGGGACCACGTAGGTGTCTAACAGAACAAAACGATTTTTGGCAAAGCTTTGGTGAGAGTAACAGGTCAAATTTCAAAACTCCACGATTTAACAGAAGCAAGATTCCTCCCCTCCCCACATAATTGCATGACACTGAATGTGTGGCAGGAATTTATATGGGCAATTCAGCTGGTCCATTCATGGCTTAGTACATAATTTCAGGGCATAACTCAAAGAAAAGAAAAGGCATCTCTACATGACCAAACAATGGGCAGAGCTTGAGCAGCTCATATGGCAACTTGTAAGTGCCATATAAAAAATAAATTACCACTAAATAGGCATATAATTTCAGTTTCAGGTTCTGGTCTCTTCAAGAACAGCCTCTTATAGCTGAGAATGAATATCTGAAGATTTGTGGAATACAATTAATCTCAAGTTCTGCTGAATACAAACCCACTTAAATTCTCTTGGCAAACATATTTGATTAATGAGGTGCTCTAACAGTTGGTTAGAGACTGAAGCACACAACTACTCTGAAGCTGGACTGAACAACAAAAGAGAAACAAACAATCTTAATCAACATTTTAAAAACTCACCTAAATAAATTAAGGACAATCTACAAATCTATCTTGACTTATTTCTGTTAAAACAGAGACTTGTTTCCCTAAATACATATATGTCTAGTGTAGGCTTTGTATCTTGCCAGCTCTTCATCAAGAAGGGAACAGATTGTTTCTAGCAATTTGAGTGCTTAATTTTTTTTTGTTCCTTTTACATTTTTTGTGTGGCTGTTTTGACAGATTAGAAGGTTTGGCAAAAATACTTCTTGATTCCTTCTTAGAGAGGTTGACCGTCTGATGAGATTCATCCACACACTCTCCTGAATACAATAGTTTTACAACCCACAGCCATGGAGTGGACGACTTTTTCCTGCTCCTTGCTGTGTATCCTATGCCATTTGCAGACTATGTGCTGGACAGATTTCACGTGGCTTTCCACAGTGCATGTGTGTCTGGATAATGTAGTCTTGGAAAACTTTCCAACAGCAGTTTTACAAAGAGTGAGGTCTAATAACTCTGGTGGGATTCCTACTTGAAAGTAGCTACTTTTCTTATTGTCAGGCACTTATGAATGCTATGATAGAGGTGTCCAGAGTCTCAAAGGAAAGAGAAGTGAAGACCATGAGGGGAAATTGTTTGACATGTGTGACAACATTACCTCTTGAGACAGCTAAAAGCTGTCTTCACTTTGACTCATTCTGAAAACCAGTCTTTTTTTATTTTTCTTTTTGACTTTGCAAGTTTTTAATTTGTTTTTAACGTGACTGATGGTGTTGTCAGATGCCTAATCCCTTCACCATCAGAACAGTAAAATTTTCAGAGCCTCAGCTAGTACATTTCTATTTTATAGCTCTAGTTTTAGGTCCAGCAATCTGTCCACATTTCTATGTGCACCTTAGATATCAGAGAATCAAGCTGATCATCAGCACAGAAGTCAGTCTGTGATACCAGAAACAGAGGCTACTGCTAGCTTTCACTGGAAAACATATTATCCTGTTTTTATAGATGGCAACCAATGGTCATCTTTCTTTTTATCAAATGAACAAAATTCAGGGAGAGTGATGATGAGTGAATATAGAGTCAAATATCTTGAGAAGAAACAGAAAAATAAAGTGGGAAGACAAGTAATTCTCTTATGAAAGCAACTAAGGTACATCAGACTTTTAAAACTAGCAAGGTAGCTCAAAATATGAAATCACAGGACTACCTGTGTGGGACTTGTCTGGAAAAAAAATCAGTTAGATGTTATTTTAAGATTTACATGTAATTCCTCTACCCACAGAGTAGCAAAATACAAATCTGTAGCAGTTTATTATTTCAATGTCATAATGAGAAAAGTACCTGAAAACATGATGCTACATGATACTACATGAATGTGTGGTTGTACAGACTGTAACCACAGAGATTCAGAACAAAACTGGAACATTATAATGCAAGTGGGGAAGAAAAAGGAAGGAAAAGGACACATAAAAGCTACTGTAACTACAACCAGAAAAAAAAATGCAAAAGATCATTGAAAATACCTATGCAATCATACAAATACTTGGGAGACTGCTAAAATTTGGTACAGAGATGAATGCTCATTAAACAAAATTCAGCACAACATCCTCAGGTGCATTATATGCTCAGAAAAGCCAGCCCTCAGCCACTCGTCTTTCTCTGGCCACAGGGCTACAATAAGAAAATTGCAACACTGAGTAGCAATAGTTCAAAGTCTGAGTGCTGAGCCCAAAGTCAGAGGGCTGAGCTCAGCAACACCAGGTGCACCTGCTCTGTAAGGATCACTTCTCTGAGCAGTGCCTGGGGAGGGCTGTGTTTTCAGCCCTGCCTAAACACATCTCTGCAGTGTAGGAAGGAGCTTCAGAGAGAGGATCTGTGGCAAGCAGCTCTGGTGATAAAGCAGCCTGGGCATTGAAAGAAGTAGAATAGATGTCAGGATAGGTTGTTTGTCAAGGTAAGAAATTTCATTTGAGGAAGCTGTGAAAGGCTTCCACTGAGACTCCTCAACTACCAAGGAAGAAGGAAGATTTTAACCAGGAAACCTCAAACCTAACTTCTGCAGAACCCCAAGGATTTAGGAAGAATGAAAACCAACTACACAGCTTCAGCATCTGCATTAGCTCTGGTCCTGAAGAAGGACATCATGTCACAGACTGTCCTCCCAAATTACACGGAGCTGGAATGGAGGAAGTACTCCTCTTCATTTCTTAGTCCTAACCTCTCCTCAAAATCCTCAAATATGTGTCCTAGCCTGCGTGCAGAATCCAGAATGTACTGGCAGCTGTGTGGAAAGGGTAACTAACCATGCTTTCTGTGGAAAGGGAAGGTGAGAACCCATTCATGTTTAAATGCTGTGATACAGGCAGTCTGGGCAAGAGAAAGGAAAAAGGAAAACACATGTATCTGAATTAAACCCCCTGCTCATATTGCTGGTTAAAAAACTAACAGTGAACAGAAACATAAGGAAAAAATGCAGGAGGAAAAAAAAAATCAATACATGAAAAATTTATACTAGGCAAGAAATTAGATTACCTTCAAGGAAAGACAGCACCTGGAGCTAGGTTCATATTAATTTGGGGACCATAAAGGAATTTATCACACCTTGTCTAGAAGGCCCTTGTTTTCCTTCATAAGAATACAGAGGCTGAGAACAATGGCCACCATGTATGTGGTACACATGCTTTTGTATGGAGTTAAGAAGGGATCATTTTGTCCTGTGCATCTTTTAAGTTCATTCCTGACAAAAAGTTTTATAGCAAATCCAAAAAAGAACAGGCATATTCTTCTTAAAATACTGCTGTATTCTATCTGTGGAAAAACCTGGAGAATATGCATCTATTCCTTGGCCAAATGGTTAACAGGAAAACACAATTATGTGAAAGTATTTGAATGCTGTAAGCTAGAAAAAAGGAGAGAGAAACAAATGGACATACTGTCTGAGATGGCTGTATTACATATAAGAAATGTCAAACACAAGTAAAGATAAACTCTACTACCAGAGGGAGCAATTGCAACAACAGTAAAGGCAAAAGTAATTTCTCAAGCAATTTCAATTCCATCACATTGATCACTTTATAAAGCCAAAGTATGGCAAGGAGATACATTACTTCCTCCTGTTGATCTTTTACCTTTTTCTATGTTTGTCACCCAATTTTACATCAACCAACACTCAACTACAAATGGGAGAGCAAGAGCCTGTGTCACCTGTGCACGATCTATTGTCCGTACCACAAAACCATCTTGTATAATTTATGTTAGGTGTAACATTCCCATTCTTCCCCTATGCATGTAATGATCATTACTTCTTTCATACCTTTATCTTGGCTCTTTCTAATATTTCTCTTATGATCTGCTTTCTTGTAAATAGAACCTGAATTAAAAGGGTCTATTGTTTGGCCTAAGAACTATAACTTTTGGTGTCAGAATAAGAAAATATACCAAGAAGCAAGGCATTATCCACTTAGCACAGTTCGAAAACATGCTTATTTTAAAGGATTTTTAAATATAAAAATAAAACAATCTTTCACGACCAATTATATAACTTCCAGGAGTTCAAGCTACCCTTGTCTCACATGTTGTGAGATCCTCTCTATTTCATCATTTTCACAGGGCTATCTAGACCTGGATTGTCTCTATTCTTGCCCTCTTCACAGGGATGAAATTGTCTCCATTCATTACCTTCTAACACCTGGTTTTAATTTACTTTCACTTAGAATGAGCGCAGAAGGTGAAGACAAGTATATTAATTGGTTAAGACAAATGTCTTCCCTATCCTTTTTTTCTGGATGGTGCCTGAACAATTGTCACAACCAGTCAAACTGACTCATCTTCCAGACCACAGAATGCAATCTCAGAACAAGGTCCTTACTTCTGTTTACTTTTCTTTTGCCTCTACTGTTATTATACCTTCCAAAGTGTTTTCATTCAGCAGAAAAATAGAAGTGCCCATAGCAACATCCTTCTTTGGAATTCCCGCACTTTCTTCACACAGCCAATTTATAAGAATATTGAGTTTGTGGTCAAAAAGATCTGTCTTCAGATTTCACCCAGGCCCTATTTTTTAATCTTGCAGCAGCCCAGCATATTTTTTTTCTCTGTCATATGAAATGAGTTGTTATAAACAGCTCCCATTGTGATTGCTGGTTTTAGCACATTTAAGGAAGTAGCACAGGTACCACACTGTTAACCACAGCGAGTCCTGTGGTTGATAATGGCAGTGCTAACAAAGATGAATCACCAGCAGTGAAAGCAGGTCAAAAAAACCATACACACACACACACACACACACACACACACACAGAACCCTACTCAATCCAAAACAAAACCAAAAGGAACTCACTCCACCAGAAAGGATATCCAGGGAAAGAGATAGGAGTGTAGCTGGGAATGTATGCCTTGTAATATACTCCACTTTGAACACATGCTCACAGTATGGACTTGCCCTCAGGAGTCATGATCTGAAAATACTTTATTGAATAATGTGATACTCAGATTTTTCAATGAAAATTTATGGTTTTGTTCATTTTTCTCACTGCTTCAAATGATGGTTGTACACCTTCCTGTAAAACAGGTTTTCAAACACCAGAAGTTCTTATGAATCCTTGTGGGGTTCTGCGTTTCACATTTTCTTAACTCTTGCCCCACTAGAATAAATGATTGCCAGAGTAAAGATTATTTTCATTTGTGCTTTCCTACTATCTATCATTCTGGACATCCAAAATCTGTGGGGACTTTCATGTGAATGCCTTCATACAAATCATGTCCATCACCCCTCACTGACAGCAAAGGCAAGAAACACACCACCATAACACACAGGACAGAACAAAACAAAACAGAACAGTGCTTCAAGACAGGAATGATTCCCTTGAACTGCTTTCCACCCTACGAGAAGGAAAAGAGGGTGAGTCTTAGTCTTTTCCTCTAGCTAAGGAGAAATAATCAAGCTAGCTGCTACACCATCAAGTATTGCATAGGAAAATAGAGGGAGACTTTGCCAATGGACTGGCTGGCTCACTGCATTTTGAGAGCTTTGTGAATTCTTAAAAAGCTCTTCCCCTCAGAATGACTTCAGGAGAACAGCACACAGTGCTGGAAGCAGCATTTGAGCCTCCTGTTGGGGTATTCTACTTCAATACAAGATGGGCCTAGAAATAAAAGAAAAAGCACAATGGTTTTTGAGGAAGATGTCACCTTCTTTTTGACTTCACAAGTGTCAAGGCTCGAACAACTGGAGGGCCATTCCACAACCATCCTCTCAGTCAGCCAGCCATTACTGTTCTTCAGGAGAGGGCTGTTACTACAGTGGCCCTCTTGCTACATCCTTCATTTTCACATCTTCTATGAAAAATAAGTTATGGACTGTATTAACCATCTTATTTTCCCTAAGCTTCAGCATAATGTTCCAACTAATAGCTGTCCATCACCTTTTGTCTCAACAGCAGAGAGCAACTCCAACCCTTGCCTTCATGTGGGAAATGGCAGATAGGAAGAGATAGAAATCATACAAACACTACAGCCTGATGTTTAAAGCTGTTAAGTTTTCTTAAGAACTCCCAATGTAAGAATACCCAGAGTACCTTAAACTTCACAAGGATCAAGGGTGTTCTGAGAGGAAAAAATATGTTCACATTTTAGAACACTGTGCATGTGTGTGAGTTACACAAATCAGAACTACCTACAAATAAACAATAGTTCTCCTCTTGGTGAACTATACCACTGTTTCCCTAAACATTAAGAGTCATAGTGTGTTCACTATCAGCCAGGCACCTATCCTGTCACTGTACATTCACAGTAGGAAACCCTCTTTCCAGTGCGTGTTACTCATAAATGTGCTAAATCAGACTGACTCTCTGCCCTTCTATGTTCTAAGGTGAATTAGGAAAGGGTCTGTTATAGGATGATACAGGCCATTCTTTTGTAATGGTCTGCAGTTTTCTCTCCCAATACATTTTCTTTTTATTTAGCACTTCCATTTTTATCCTGTGTTCTTCTTCAGCCATCTCACACTCTCTTTCTATTTGCTGAATCTTTGCCACATGAACTTCATTCATTTGGATTAACTGCAGTTGCAAAATCGACATTTGCTGATGATGTTCTTCCTCATGCATCTTTTTCAGAGCACTTTCCTGAGATGCTTTACTTCTGTAGTTCTTATCTGCTGCTATTCTGACATCAGAACACGAAGGCTCAGGCTGGGAGGTGCCTTCACACACTGGAAAGTGTACCAGCTCTTTGTCTTCATCACAAAGTTCTCTGTTGGACACAACAAATGACTCTGCAAACAAAAAGAAGAAAAAGTGTTATAGTATTCTTTTCTTCCTTCAAGAAACAGAAATGTGATAATATAAGTTACTGACATGTGCATATAAAACTTGTGCTCCAGTAGCAAAGCACAGCAGCCACTACATAATGCAGTTCTGCTGCAGAACACTAAGGGCATAATGGGCTGAACAGAACCACTTGGGGCTCTGTTGAAAGACTTCCAAGGCTACAGTGGGAGTTTAAAGGACTAAAGTGATTGCAGACACTTGTAAGTGGACACCTAAATTTAGGTGGCTGAGCCTGGAGCTAAACCTTAATGCAGCCATTTAAGCTAAATCTATATGTGACTTGCAATATTTTCTGAAAGGTCTGAGTGTCAGGTGAAGCTGTGTCAACATGAATATCAAAAGATTGAGGGAATAGTAGGAAGAGCACTTTTTATTCTTTCCTTATCTCTGCTGCAGATGTTGTAAATACAGGAGTGTATATTTTTAGGAAAAAATCACATTATTCTAACTTTGAGAAGGCTCTACCATTTCTTCTGAAATAAAAGAGACTATGCAGGGAACAGAATAGTTATCACTGCAAATGAGGGTCTCAAAATACATTCCTATCCAAATCCCAATGACTAATTATGGTAAATACAATTATGAAAGAGACATTCTAAGAATGTTATCTAACAATGTAGCTGCTGTTGTCTTTTGAGCAAGGACAGTCTTCTGTGTGAGATCCTGTGTGAGACATAATAAAATTTGCAAGAAACTTGTAGCCACCCTCCCTCCTGGTATTGAATTATTCCTTCTGAGTATGTTTGCCAAACAAAGAAGAATGCAGAATTTAACTTTTTCAGAAAGGCCATTCTCCAGTGTGGACTGCAGCATGAAATGTGGCTCCACATACTCTTTTTAGTTCTTGGAAACAAAGGAGGAAAGACCACTGGGAACTCTTGCAGCAGGCAATTGTGTATCAATTTGCTGCTGGTAGTTTTTGTTTGTTTTTTTTTAAACCAGCAAAATGATACTTTAAAAATTATAACGATATCCTTGGGACTGTGCTCTGGAAAGCCAGCATGATAGCAACTGTGATGCTTGCCACAGAGCAGCAGATATGTCAAAAACAGATGAAAAAAATCTGTAAAAAACCTCACACCCGTTTAACTTCTGTAGGCCTTGGGAAATACACACAGCCTGTAATATCATAGCTCTGAAATTACTTTTTATATCCAGCAGTCACAGCTAAGTGGAGAGATTTGAAAAAGAATCACTGGCAAAATCACATACAAAGCAATATTACTTGCATCATTACAGCAACATTTATACCTTGACTAGAAGCATCAGGCTGATATTCAGAGTCTTCTTCTGGTGGGCTCTGCAAAAAGTACATTTGCTCAGGCATTATGCTTCCAATCTTCTCCTTCCCTACGATGTGAGTATTTATAAGTGGACTAATACTTCTTTTTACCTTCTCCCGCCTCTCATGTGCCATTATCTTTTTTGTCCGTGCCTTGATATTTTCCCAGCATTTCTTTAACTGTTTGAAGTCTCGCAGTGATACACTGGGCTGTGAGTTATATTCATGAGCCAGGGCTTGCCAGGTGCGTTGTTTCAGAGCAATAGTTCTTGCATCGCTTTTTTTACATTCCAGCACGTATTTGTATTTTTCAACTAATGCAAGCAGCACACTCTTCTCCACTTCTGAGAAGTACTTAGCAGGCTTTATTATTTCGTTTTGCATTTTCTACTGTTTCTCCAAGAAGCCAAAATTCCTACAAAAACAACAATGAAAAAAAAAGGAAAAAAACCAAACATAAGTTAAAACTGATTGCAGTATCAGGATTGTGATCAATTATGTTTTCTAGAATAGCTTGTGAATAGTTCTAGAGTACATAATGGAATGATCAGGTAAGATAAAATACAATTACATGCTGGTTTGTGTTGCCACTTCGGTGGATACACAGTGCCAGCAGTATACTATAATGAACAGTTGTCTTTGTTACAATTTGACTGGATACATAATACACAGTATTTACTTAGTATCTTGCTTTTAATATCTTGTTTTCCTGTTCATTGTGCTTTTTCACTCCCAGAAAGTTTTCCAAGCCCTCAAGCTAGGAACAAATTTCAAAACTCAGCCCTCGCTAGCTCCAGGTTTAGGTCTGAAGCCACCTTCAGTATGCTTGGGTTTTTTATTTTTTTGGTATAGAAAATATCCTCTTCTCTCCTTGCTGATTGTGCATAATAATTTCTCCCATCTCTCTCCAATATTTCAAAGATGTATGAGCAATGATAGCAAGAAGTTGTCCTTTTAAAGACCTGTCAGCTCTGTTCTCCCCCATACTCCATGCCTTCCAGGCTGATACCCAACAGGCATCAGGATCCTGACCTGTATTACAATATGGAGAGGCAGCAAGAGTTGCAAGGAGGCAAGAAATAACAACAGAAACCAACCACGTGGAAGGCACAGGTCCTTCAACCTTGACTGCTGGCCCTGCACTTGTGATACTTCCTTGTACTTGTGCTGCTGGTCACTCAGGAGCCAGCAAACAGGCTGAAAAGGGTTTTGGCCTTAACACAGCCTCTGCTATACACTTACACCATGTCAGCAACCACCTCGCTTCTGAAGCCCAGCACTTACGTAGTCAATAGGAAAGAGTTAACAACATATGGCTGTGAAATATATTTTATTTTTGCTACTTCTATCTTTTCACACTTTTCTCCCCCTTCTTTTCTGCTGTAACTGTGTAGCCCAAATTACTTTTAGATTTTGGGCAGAAATGCTGCCTAGCTCTCATTTCTTTTGTTTTTAATCATTAAACCCAGTGATACATTTATAAGACAATTGCTTCATATTCCCAACAGTCTAGGACTCTCCCAAAATGAAATTTCTAGTCTTTTGCCTATTGTTTCTACTACTTTTCTCATAACGTTCCTTGATGGTGCACTAGATATCACCATCAGGTTTCCTCTTCTCAACATATTTTTCCTTAACTCCACTGCACTAGGACTTTGTTCCATCCTTTCCTCCAAACATCTTAGTACTTAGTTATTCCCATCTCTTTCAGTAAAGGTAACTACTTATATTTATAAAGAAAGCTAACAGACAAGATCATATCGCAATGAAAACCTAAGCCTGACATAAAAACAGTGGCTCTCTTGAGTAGCCCATAAAATTAGACAAAGCCCAGCTGTCCTGGTTTCAGCAGGGACAGAGCTCATTTTCTTCCTGGAGGCTGGTACAGTGCTGGATTTTGGATTTAGAGAGAATAACGCTGATAACACATGGATGTTTTAGTTGATGCTCAGTGGTGCTTATTCCAAGTCAAGAATGTTCAGTTCCCCATGCTCTGCCAGAGAGCAGGTGCACAAGAAGCTCTGAAGGAGCACAGCCAAGGCAGCTGATCCAAACTGGCTAAAGGGATATTCCATACCATAAAATGTCACTTTCAGTGTATAAATGAGGAGGGAGTTGGCCGAGACCTGCAGGCGGTGAGCAATTGTATTGTGCATCATTTTTTTCTCTTGAGTTTTCTTCCTCTCTTTCTCTCTCTTTATCTCCCACTCTCTCTTTTCCACTACAAGTATTATTATTGTTACTATATTTTATGTTGTTTCAATTATTAAGCTGTTCTTATCTCAACCCACAAGTTTTACTTTTTTTTCTGATTCTCCTCCCCATCCCACTGGGGGCAAGGGGTGAGCAAGCAGCTGCACAGTACTTGGTTGCTGGCTGGGGTTAAACCATGATGCCAGCAAAACAAAGGAGTCAAAGAACAGGGAACACAGTGGAAAAAAGCCTGGAATAGCAAAACTGAAGCAAAGTGAACAGAAGCCAGTAACAGTGTAGGTCAAGCCAGCAGCTAAGTTGTACCCCTTCTGAAAAAGGAGCAAACACTTGGTTTGTACCTTCTGTCAGTGCTTGTCTGGGTTATTTCTGGGCACCTATGTGGGTCCTGCATAGTCACAGTTCTGCTCTCTCTTACCAAATCCTGGTGCCACAAGGACATGGGAGAGCTGAAGTTTTTGCAGCAAACAGGATCTAGGGGACTAAGGGAAAGATCCATAGGAAAACAAAATGCAATAGTGCTACTGCTCATAGAAGAGCTAGTTTATTTTACATGAAAGCAAAAGGAGGAAGAAGGAAGAGAGTTGGGTGGCTGAGTTTAAGGAAGACAGTTTTTTGATCCAGTATTTCCTCTGTCACACTGTGTCAAGTTATTTTTTATGGCCTGTGAAAACTTAAGTCACCCCCCACATTGGTGACAGGAATTCTTAAACAGCTATAAACCCAAAGAACAAACTAGGTGTAAGTAAAGAAACTTCTTTCATTGCATACCAGTCATTACAATATATAGGTCTAATAGAGGTGTACAGCTGCTTCAGGAATTCCTCAAATAAAACACAAATTAGGAGAAAAAAAAAAAAAAGTAGTTAGGAAATTGACATCCTAGCAAAGATACTGAAAACTGGCAAGTTCACTTCATGAAACCACTCTGAAAACATGTAAGATAAAATAGACCTAGAATGGAATAGTGTATCTACTAATCCATTTTACTTCCATACTTATTGCACCACTCCAAACCATTCAGTTGCTTTGGACAGATGCTGAAATGAAATTCTTGGGACTAAATATTGGTTCTGTATCTCAATTCCACCAAGGAATGGGATGCAATGCAGTCCCATCAGCAAGTTGTGAGGCCCAATACCTTATGATCCTGAAAAGCCAGGATCACTCCATGTGATCAGAAAGGACTGATTCTACCATCTGCTGATACATGGAAATCTTACTTCTAGTTTTGAAAAGGTGAGAGAGCCTCAAATGAAAAAAAAATCACTACATGTTTATGTATAGAAAATCCCTTTATTTAGAAAACCAGGATTTTCAGAACTTTGGAGAGTACATTCAAAAAGTTAAACAATGTTACTAGGATCCCAGGTGCTAAATATCTAGCTCCACAGACTAGCCATCAGCTGGGTCAGTAAATCAGTGATCAGCTGATGTCACTAAATATCTAAAACATTTACAAATATGACTTCTGATATATTAAAACATTATGTACTAGAATAAAAGCTCATCTTTCATAGATGGAGCAAATTTAAGTATAATTTTCATACCACACTATCATTTACTTCTATTATTTTTACTGTTGGAGCTTCTGAGATCCCCAGCTGTAAGTTCAAATTCTAAACATTAAAGAATGGAAAGATAAGTCCTACTCTGAGAAGAATATATTGGGCTTTCCTTCCACTAATCACATTCCTAGTAATTGTTTCCCAAACAGACACATTGCACTTGTGTCCTTTCTTTCTGTGAAGAACCCACGATTATGATCTAGGATGCGTAAAGGGACTCAAGAACTGGTGTGGGCAGTCTAATACATAGAAGAAAAGAGTTTTGGAAGACTCTTCTCAAGATCTTACATGCTTAACCTACTTTCTTCAATGTATTAAAGCCCATTTGCAATGAGGTGAAGAAAAAAGCTCTCTGAGATGTCAGGACAAGTTAGAATAGCAAGAAGTTGTGTCAGAACGCCACCATGTATTTATATTCACCTCTTTTTTCTTTTTATATTATTCACCTTCCCTGTATATTATTCACCTTCTTGCAGCCCACTGGCTCCTCTGCAGAATATGAGAAAGGACTCACAAGCCCACAGAATTTCCATTTTGAGGCTAAACAGTCCTTCCAGGACATATGCCTGGGATATATTTTAGCAGGATCTGTGCTGAAATAAAAGTAGTTTATTGTGCATAGCTCATCTCGTAAACTGGATTGATTTGTGTGGGCACAAGAGGACAGCTGCAGAGTAAATTCTAAGAAACAAAGACTGGAAAGCTTCTCCCACTCTTACAGGTGCCTAGGCTCCAAGACACATGCAGCAGGAAAGCCTTTTATCCTAAATATCTTCTCCTGGTAGGACTCAATTCACAACTTGCCTTAAAGCAGTGTCCTAAGCATTTGTCCTCTCACACAAACCTCTATAGCTTTAAGATAACAGAAGTATCTCTCAGCTCCTCATCTTTACTGTGAAATGTTGTGCAGCATTCTTCTTTTAAAGGCTGTAAGAAATGTGATGTGATCTGCTCGAAGAATAGCTTGAAAAAAAAATTACAGAAGTTAGGAAAAGCACATCTGTCCATAAATATGTCACACAAATGCATTATTTTGCTTGCACACATCTAAACAGACACCCAAGCTCCAATCAGTTGCAAAGAAGCACAATAAAAGGGGAAAAAAATTGGTTTAAGTTGGCATGTGTGAGCATTTGTAGTCCATGAAATGATTTTTAGGCACAAGAAAATGCAGAGAAAAAGTTATGGTGGAAGACTTATCCCAAATGTTAAAAAGATTACACTAACCAAATCCAAAGAAAAGAGTTTGTTAGCAAACTGTGATAACTTATGGGGTGAAAATGAAGTGCACTGACCAATGCCAACAGAATTACTACCAGAAATATTCAAAGATTGATAAAAATAAAATGTATATCTCTAACTTCAATTGCAGGTGAAGCTCTAAACATAGCCAGTAATTAACAACACTGGAAACCAAACATAATTCTGTCCTTTTCATCCAGTGCTTGAGGACGAAAGAAAGGCATGGAAATGCAATGACCCAAACTAGTCACAACAGGTTTGTATTTCATTTGAATGACAGAAGCAGCAGTAAACAGTGTTCTTCTTCCTCAAATGTTTCCTTGGTTTTCCTCACCAAGCTTCCATCAGTGTTCCAGGCCTGACCCTGCCTACCTTGAGACTTGAAATCACTAGGTAATTAAGAGCACATTGCAAATATGAATGAGATCTATACAGACAATGTGTTTTAACCAGATTTTTAAAAATCCCACCTCCTCGGGTGCTTGCCCCCTACGCTTTAATACAAAATAAATAGTTATCATGGATCATCCAGCAAACAAACAAGATCATCTATTAGTAAAATTCACAGTACTTTACCCAAACGTTTCCTGTCACATTTTATATAGTTATACACGGAAATGTATTAATATATATATGTGCCGGTACCATATTACACTATAGATACACACAGATTTTAAGCGGGTCATCCCGCTACCTATGGAGGACATCCAAAGCACTTCCCGCAAGCAAGGTAATGGACGCAGGTTGTTATTCCGAACGACTGCCTGAAATCCACCAAAAATAGGCACAATACAGGAATCCTACCAGACTCTCCCGCACCCGAACTTCTCAAACATTAACTCGAGCTTGGTGGGCTTTTTCTAATCTCCTCGCTAGCTCCTCTTCTGCCTGCAGGAGGACGGAGAGCGGGTCCGGGCTGCACAAAGGCGGCCGCTCCCCGCCGGGCGGGCGCGGGGGCTGCGGCGCGGTGCGGGCGCATCAGCCGCGGCGGCGGGGGGGGCTCGGCCGCCGTCACCCAGCGCCCGCGGGGACCAGCGCCGGCGGCGGCGACAACCCCACCCTGCGGCCCCGCGGCTCCTCGTAACAAAGCGCCTCTCGCCTCCCTCCTTCCCTCCCTCCCTGCTTCCCCGCCTCCCTCAGCTCCCCGCCCGCAGGCCGCCGACACCGCTCCCTCCAGCTCCCCGCAAACCCCGCGCTGGATTCCCGCCCGCCGCGGCGCCGGCCTCTCCCGCGGGGGACACTGCTGTGCCACGGGGACACCGCTGTGTTCCGCCGGGACACCGCCGTGTGCCGCGGGGACATCCAGCCCGGGCGATCCCGCGCCCGCAGGTGCGGCGGAGCTGTCGGAGGCGGCCGCGGGCAATGCGCGTATGTGTGTTGTGGGGAGCGGCGTGCGAACACCCGGCGGCCACCAGGAAGGGGGTGGGCAGCTCCTCCTGCACCGGACACAGCCCGAGTTCCCGGGACGCACGTCCCTAGCGCGGCGTGCCCATCCGCATCCCGATCCCGGGGCCCCGGAGCGGAGCGAGGATTCCCCAATCCCCGCCCCGGTGCGGCGGCCGCGGACCCAGCTCGGGCTTTACCTCCGACAGCGCCCGGCGGCCCACGCGCCTGCGCGCCAGCGCCCCCAGCGGCGGCCGCGGGAAGAGCCGGGAGCTGCCGCGGCCGCCCCGCTCCCGCTCCCGTTCCCGATCCCGATCCCGTTCCCGTCCCCGCCCGCCGGCACCGCGCAGTGCCGTGCCCGGCCCGGCCGGGCTCCCGCCACCCCTCCGTGCCTCATCGCGAGCGGGTCGGTGGCAGGTGCCGGTGCGGCACCAGGGAGCGCCCTCAGCTCCTCCGGGCTCCGGACGCTGCCCGGCCCGCCGGTGAGTTGTGGGCAGCGGCGGCCCGGCGCTCTGCCGGCTCCGGCGGGAGCAGCGTCTGTGTCCGCCCCGGCGGGACTGGAAGTGCCGGGAAAGGCGCTCTGCCGCCTGCGCCGCTCCTGGCGTGCGGTTCGGAGCTTCGGGGCCTTCCTGCTTCCCTTCCTTCGTTCCATTCCCTCCCTCCCTCCTTTACTTCCTCCCCCTTTCCTTGGCCGCCGCGGGCCGGGTGGGAGCGTGTCCTCCTTGCCGAACCCCGCCTGTGCCGCCTGTTCCCCAGGCACACCCCCGGCACTGCGGGCTGGCCGTTCCCAATGTCTGTGTCATCTGTCCCAGCCCGTGCGGGCACTCCTATCCCAGGAAAGAAGGGGGAAGCTTGAAATGCCCCGGATTTGTTTATGTTTCATTAGTTTTTGTTTCATTAGTTTTTGTTCTGCGTCATCTTTTGGTGACGTTAATATTTCCCGAGTGAAGCTCGCGGAGAACAATTGTTTCTTTCCATGCTGTAGTTTTGCTCTCGAGTTGAAAATAGGATCATTAGCCTGGGAAGTTAAAGGTTGAATATAACTCAAGGCGAGACGCAAAATAAAGCTGGAATGTACCCAACCCTCATATAGACGGAACAAAAATGTAAATAATTTTGTGAAGCTCAAACAACAGTCTGCAATCTTTCTGCAATTTTCCTAGAGTTTTTTTATCATCTAAAGACTGAATATGGACCCTGAAAGTGAAATAAAGAAGCAAATAAACCCCTTTTACTGCAATGTAAGTATTCATTTTAGAAGTTGTACCTAAACCAAGTGTGAATGTTATTTTTTTTCTCTTGAGCAAGCTTGGTAAATAGCCCTGGACCTGAACTTGTTTTGGTGACTTTGTCATGTTTGACTTGGCTGTGTGTTAAGAATCGCTTATTAAAGTGAATAATATTATGTTTCTAAATAAAAGCATTGTTTTTAGTGGGTGATTAAGTGTAGATCCTGTTCAGAACAAAAAATCCTGATTTCCCTAGTTGTCAGGTTTATTGCTGTTTTTTTAAAGCACACTGGGATTTTTAGAGGAGAAGAAAATATTTGGGCTGCTGCTGTTCATTGATGTGAATTTAAGCTAATCTGCTCCCGTTCTGAGCTGGCCCAGGCATAAGCCAGCTGTGTTAGGGAAGTTTTCCAAAGGGAGCAAGGCAGGCCCTGAGCTGATCAGAGTAAGTGTGGATGCAGCACTGAGGGGAACAGGCTCACCTCCGGCAGGTGTCATGGCTTGTCACAATTAATGCCCTGCCTGTGGCTCTCCCTTCTCTAGAGTGTGTGAGGAAGTTCTTGGATCTGCCTTCACTTATCCACGCATGCCCACACAGAAAGTGTTATGAGATAGTGGCAGAGTTCTGGAGCATCTGCAATTCTTACATGATGTGGAGACTCTGGTTCATTTCACTCTGTTTTAGTGGTCTTGAAGCCTTAAAAAATTCAGTTTCAGGAATTTGTCTAGTTTATTGCTCTAGTTTATCTTTGAAGTGCTAGTACTTTTGTAGAACTTAAGCTATACCAACAATTTGATAGTAGATCTGTTTTGATACGAGTGGTATTTTATTTGTCTTGGTCTGTGTGCAATGCTAGAAATTCTTCTCTTTCATCTAGATTTGCAAAATCTGGTGTTCTTCTGCATTAAACTTGCAGACTCATTTCCTTGGAGCAAAACACAGGACGGTAAGATCAGCTTTTGAATGTGCCTTTTGTCAGATTTTACCAATTTATTTAGCAATACATTATGGGGTTTGAAATCTAGTTTTTATTGTGAAACATACAATTTCAGGTATTTAACTAGTTTTAACAGATATTTAATTAGTTTTGCTAACTTACTGTCTTCTCTACAATGATAAAGGAGAACGTGGTTTTGTACGTTAGTCCTGTCAGAAAATGTTACAACTTTATGTCTAGTAAAGACAATACATGAGAATACATGGCTGTTAATAAAGGGAAAATGGAATTGCTTAAATCATAGACAATCTCCAGAAGAAAAAGAGATGTTTTTCTTTTTTAATTTTCATGTAATTGTTCACCTGAGATAGTCTATGCTGTTGGTATTAATTGAACTTATATATAATGAAAATTATGCATTGTTGGTTTTTGACTCTTAAGTGCCTTTCTTATTTTTTGGTTGATAACTTGGTAATTTAGGTTGAAGAAGCACTGAAAACTCATGGCATGAGTAAGTGCAAGATTTTTTGCTTCCTGCTGTGTCCTGTACCCACATCTTTCTCCCTAGCCCAATGTAGTTGTTTATGAAACAAATGAAAAACAAGACTTTCTCAAGACTTGTTCTTAAAGACCTATCCTGTGCTTTTTTATGATATAGCTACCTAATCAATCAGTAATTTGAGCAAGAGGTATGCAAAGTTGATTAACAAGCACTAGCTAGAAGACTAAAAATCACCTACATTAAATTTTTGAGAAACCCTAAAGAATTCAAGACATTAGAGACCTTCAAAAGTTTAAATATAATTTAAAAACCTATGCTTCTTAAAGCATGTAGAAATACTGTATATACTTTACATTTGTTTTTGAAAGGGGTTTAATTTGCTTCAGCTAATAAAGATATTTTTAATACTTTTAATAAATTTATAAATCGTTAAACCTCCTCTGGGTCTTGATGAACTGGTCTAGTTCCAGAAGGAGTGAAGGTCTAACTACATTTGCAGTTGTTCTCCTAACTTGGTTTCATGATGCACCAAAATGTTTTTTCAGGTTTCTACAGTTCACTGCTCCTAGAATTCTGTTTGAAAGTTGTTGTTCAAGTCAGACATAGTCATTGGACCTACCTGATCTGAGAATTTTTGTTTGGACTGTAATGGAAATTTAAGTGATGAAATATTTAGCAGCTGTATGCTTGCTGAAATAAATATCCTGAAATTCCTGGGTGCCCTCAAATGTTTAGAGACATTGAACTTGATTGATCTTCCTCTCTGCCTGCTTCAGTGAATTGCCTGACTTGAAATAACTTTGTTGTTGTTTAGTGTGAATGTTTTTTGTCCATCTTTTGGAGCATGGTGCTAATGACACCAGGGTCAAGGGTTCATTCCTTGAACAGGACTCGATGATCCTTGTGGGTCCCTTCCAACTCAGAACAGTCTGTGAATCTGTGAAAAAAATCTCTTAGCATGTTCAAAACTTAACTTAAACATAGCTGTTTTCTCATGTCAACAGAAGGTCAGAGTTTTTTTCAAGTAGTCAGTTTTTTTACCAAATTACTTTTTATACTAACAATTTTATTTCCACTTCTGTGGGATTCTTTTGTTTTCTTTCTTTTTTTTTTTTTTTTTAGTTAAAACAGAAGGTTCCTTAGGAAAGAAATTGAAAACAACTGTGAAACTTCCTGATTTTGGTAAGAATGTTTAACATCTTCCCCCAGACCTCCCTCCCCCCCCCCAAAAAAAAGAAGTGAAAGAAATAAAAAATTTTGAGGCATAATATTACACGTGATGTCCAGATCTTATTAGGTCATTGGGAGTTAATTTCTGTTCATTGTACTTTCAGTCTGCAGTAATATTTTGTAGTAATACTTTATTTTTGCAATACAAATGCTTTAAAAAGAGCAGAAATAAGATTGGGGGGGACAATGTTTCATGATAACTGGCCTAATTTATGATGTGGGACCATGTACGTGGGGACCAACTCCCCAAGCAGGGACTTGTACACAACTCAGTGATCCTTGTGGGTCCCTTCCAACTCAAAATCATCTGTGAATCTGTGAAGAAAATCTCTTAGCACATTCAAAACTAAACATAGTTTAGTTTTCTCTTATCAGCAAAAGCTCAAAGAGGTTTTTCTAAAGTAGTCAGTTATTTTACCAAATTGTCCTTTCAACTGTACTAACAATTTTATTTCCACTTCTTTCAGATTCTTACTTTTGTTTTCTTCTTTTTCTTTTTTTTTTTTTTTTTTTTTTTAGTTAAAACAGAAAGTTGCTTAGGGAAGAAAATGAAAACACCTGCGAAACTTTCTGATTTTGGTAAGAATGTTTAATGCCTCTCCCCACACCTCCCTGAAAAAAAAAAAGTGGAAGAAATAAAAAATTTTGAGATACAACATTACAAGTGATGTCTAGATCTTAGCAGGTCATTGGGAATTCATTTCTGATCATTGTACTTTCAATCTGCAGTAATATTTTGTAATAATACCTAATTTTTGCAATTCAAATGCTGTGGAAAGAGTGGAAATAAGATTGAGGGAAATAATGTTTCATATTAACTGACTTAATTTGTGATGTGGGACCACGTATGAGCAGAGATTCACTTGTATGTGAATTTCTTACAGCGCCACTTGAGCCAGAGAAGTTTCATGGACAGACACTAGAAGACCAGCTTAATACATGTAAAGAATCAGAACCTGCACTTGGTGAGGGCTTTTAATACTGTAATTGTTTGGTTTTGTGGTATTTACCTTAAAGAGTACAGATCAGTTTTTTAAAATGTAAAATCAGGTAATGTGTTACAAAATCTCCTTATGGTTGTGCTGAGTACCCAATAGTATGGTATGGAAGTGACAAATTACAGTGACAAAATCATTGGATTTGACCTGGAACATATTTGATTAGATACCTCATGGATACCTCATGTTGACAATATTCTCTAGACACAATCTAAAGTGATATGACAAAAATGAACTTTAATTTAAGAGATCAGTGTGGCTCTAAAATAAATTGTTGAGTACTATGTGGTAAGCATAAGACATCCTAAAAATATCAATTTTATACCTTTGGTGTTCTAAGTCTAGACACCCAAAAGATAAAATACCTGATGGTTCCAAAAGTCTTCATTGATGTACTTGACATGCAGTAGTAATCTTTTCCTTATATGTCAGGGCTTTAAGATCAGCTCCTTTGCAACCAGCACTGATGATTTGTTCCAGCAAACATGAAATTTCCTAATTTGTTTGGTTTTCTTTTTCAATACAGGACTTAATTACATAATAGAATACCGAACAAAAGACAATGTTCCTTTTCTCTATGAATGTCAACTATGTTACTGTAAAACAGGACTGAGTAACATGTTCATGCATGTTTGTGGTTCCAAGCACAGACTGGCATACTTGGTAAGTTCTTTTGTTTGTTTGTTGTAATGCAATGATTAAAGGGGAGAATTAGTTAGTCAAATTTTGATTTTTAAAAAATAAAAATCTAAAGTTTTACATAAGCTTCTGTGAAAATCTTGGTATTGCAATTGTGCAGGTGTGATGAATATACTTAAAATTCTTCTGATCAGTAATGTGTATGTCTGTCCATTGCTGTCTGAAATAGAATAAACTAAACTCAGTATTAGTTTATTTTGTTTTGGTCAATCAACAATGAAATGTATAGCTAAAATGGGCTAGAAATAGATGTTTGACTGATTTTTGTATTATGTCGGAGAACAGTATCGATGAAGAAGCTATTCAATCTTTCAGATGCTTTGAAAGGAATGTATTTATAAATGAACATGATGCATATTAGACAATGTGATACATATTAGATTATTAGATAGAGTGACTTGGAGTCAGTGGGGGGGAAAACCCAACTCCTATTCTGTTTTGAGGCTGGACAAGAAATGTCTGTTCTGTTGCTTGTTTTATGATAAAGCTCTTGAGGTTCATGTCAGCACCCAAACATTCAAACGTGTTATCATTTTCAATATGTTTAGAGAAATTAGGCTCTCCAGCCTCTGAATGTTTACTTGAGTATATTGGCTTAGGATGGGCTTTAACAAAACTGAGAGAGCAATATTCTGCAAAGTATTTTGATGCTCCCCATAAAAGTCTCTCAAAACTGGTATTATGTTGAACACTTCTTAAAGTCAGTTGAGTGACTCTATAATAACAGACAGCTGAGTTCACATAGTATTTTGGGGCAGCTTTAGGCCTAATGTTGGGTGTGCTGCTATGAAACTGCAGTAATGTCTTTCATAAACACCATGCTGTTTCTGGTCATTCATTCATTCAGATGTACATGCTGAGTTTTGATGTTCTCAGCTATTGCATTTCCTGCTTACTTGGAACTGTTTCCTGCAATTCTGAATCTTAGACTTGTTAACTGCATCTCTCCTAAATTCTTAAATACTATAAAAATATAATAAGTCATGAAGGATAACTTTTAAGTTGTGCACCTGAGCTGGATTACCCTGGGTAGCAGAAAAGACAGGAAACTAAATGACTGGAATTTGCTCTGCTGAAAAAGGAGCCTGGTGGATAACAAGCTCAAGATAAGTAGTGTAGCTTGGTGTCAAGCTGAGCTCTACTAACAAGGGTACAGCCAGTAGATCAAAGGAAGTGATTATTCCCCTGTTCTTGATCCTTGCTAGGCCATATCCAGGGTATTGTGTTCAGTTTTGTGCTACTACAGAAAGGAGGCTATTTATGAAATTGAGCTAGTCCAGTGGAGAACTGCCAAGATGGTCAGGGGCTGAAGCACGCTTGTACTATGAAGAGAAGTTGAGGTAATTGGGTTTCTTCTGGCTGGAGAAGAAAAAGTGTCAGAGAGTAACCCTCCAGTACTTCAGAGGAGGTCATTAAGAAGGCAGAACCAGACCCTTTTTGGAGCTTCTTGGCAGGAACATAAATTCAAGCAGGGCATTTTCCTACATGACATAAAGAAGTTTTTGCTGTGAGGGCAGTCAAGCATTGGAGCAGGTTGTCCAGAGAAAGGGGAAATCTCTCTCTCCAGAGGTTTTTAGACCCAAGCAGCAAAGCCTGACACAAGCAGCTCAGCATTCAGTGTCAACCCTGTTTTGGGCTGAAGATTTGGCTTCAATTCCCTAAATTATTCTGTACATAACTATTTTAATAAGTTCTACTATGTATATGTAGAAGTTGATTTATCTCCCATGATTATTAACTGTGCCAGATCTGGAAGGAGTTGTGTGACTTAAAGACTTGCATTTATTTTCTAGAGACAACATTATCCAGAGATAGCACAATCTGATGAAGTCAAGGGTAAAGGCTCTGAACTAAACAAAAGAGTTAGGCAAATTGGATTAACAATTGAGAAGAAAGAAGGAAGAAAACAAATACAGGTACATTTCTCTTAAGAATTCCAGAAGGTTTATATTTAATAAAGAAAAAAAAAGTAATTTCCCTTATGGTGGACAGATTTGCTTTGGAAGGTGGGAAAATCTTACTTTTTAAACCTTTTTACAGGTGCTTTTTGTAATTTTAATAATTCTTCCAGGATTATTCTGGACAAAATTTCTCTGTCTGAGTGCACAAATAACACAGAATATATATACTAATATTTAGTCAATTCACAGCTCTGTGTATGTGTGTAAAATAAGTTGGTTTTTTGTTGCTAGGAAACTGCCTTTATAATTTTTCTGAGTAGTTTCTGCTTTGTAAGCAGCTTGTGGCAATTCTCAGGGAAGCCAGGTAAAATTTCTCATAGTACAGATGAAAGTGTGGGAATTTGCAGGTTGACATGAAATAATCAGCAGTGCTGTGGCATCACAGAAGTGCCATAAACTTAAACTCTTAGGGAGCTGCACCCTTAGAAACATATTCATGTGGAGACATCTTCATATTGCTCTCTGTTGATACTTACACTGCAGTGGTATTTATAATACCTTTATGTGGACTGTATATTGCTGAAGTTTCTTCTTGAGGTTCACCTTACCACCAGCTGGTTCATGACAAGCTTAAAGAGTTGCTCACAGTTCTTTGTGGTACACATTAAATTTGTTTTCTCCATCAACTTGTTTCCTGACAGGATCCCTAGCTAATGCTACTTCATGTGCATAGATGTCTCCTTCCAAAGTGGAGCTCCCAAGGTTCCTGTGTTAAAGCTGGCAGTGTCCTGCCCATTCTGTGTGATGCTATCACACTTAGGTTCAAGGATTAGAGCCTGCTCTGATCCTACCCTTTTCTGATAAAAAAACAAGTATGAAAATATTGGAAGATCAAGTCAAGAATGAATGCCGTAGAAGGGAGAGATTTCAGATTATCAAATCCATTCTGTCTGTCCTTCATTTTTAACCTCTGCTTAAAAAGAAAATCAACTGACTGTTGGCAGCAACATTTTCATTTGACTTACTTGAATTTCTTCTTGACTTGAGATTGTTTATTTTACTTGAGATTTATGTTCATGGATATGAAAATGTTTACTTCCATCTGTATTTTGTAGACCTTTTTCTTTTTCTAGGTAGTTTATTTACCTCCATAGCAATCCATTTTTGATGTAAGGAACTTTTAAACAAAGTGTGTGTAACCTGGTTTAATTTTATTCCTATATCTTCTGAAACGAGCTGTTTAATTTTCTTTTTTTTTTCTAAGCTCTAGAAGAAATTTATTTGTGGTAAATAAATGTCCAAGTAACTAACTTTTTGAATATTAATTGAAGGATTTACACACACATATTTTACACTACTGGTCATATATTCCTAGAAAAATACAAATTAGTGCTGATGAAATATCTATGAAATAATTTTATCCACAAAATAACTAACATAAATGGGTTTTATTTTTAGGTTGTTATAGGTGTTCCAAAAATGAGAAGGAAATGGCAAGAATGTAAGTGTGCTCAGTGGGGTGCAAGTTATCAATTTCTAATTTGGTCCTCCTTTGATATAAATCAGACCAGGGTAGTCTCTGCAGTACACACCAGCATTTTGGTGAACTGGACAAAAGGACAGGTTGGGGCTCTGTGCTAGTAGTTAATTTACAGTATAGGAATCCACACAGAATTCTTGAAGCACAGCTATATATATATAAAGAAAGCTTATATATATTAAGAAAAGCTTATATATATAAAGAAAACTTTGTTTTACTAGCTATTGATACTCACAAAATTGTAGGAATGTGGTATCTCTCAGATTTCCCCACTCAGTTAATGTTTTAAAACTCATTGTAGGTACAGTGTTGTCCAGGTGGACAGACAGTATCACTGAATGCCACTTGAGGAAATGGCAAAACTTTGCTATGATTTGCATTATCTGAAAAATAAAGATTTGAATTAAAACCAATGTACTTAATTTTAATGTATATTAGCATGTAAGTGGTACCTTAAAATAACTCAGTAGAAGTAATGAGATCATCTAAATTACCAGTGTTGTACTCTGAAGAGAAAAATAGCCATTTTGAATCTAGAAAAGTGGTCTGAAATAAGCTGAGTCCTATTCAAATTAGATTTCTTGACTGTAACCTGTTGGTTAATGTGTCTTACTTTGCATGTGACATTGTAGCATTCTACTACATTATAGTATTTACATTTTTTAGGAGATGCAAGCATGTAATTATAACCAGGCTATAAAATACTTTAAACTTGGTTGCTGACTTGTAGTTCATATTTAATATGGTGTCACATAATAATGCTTATAAAATTATTCTTGGTGTTTGTAAGTACTATTGCCTAGAAACAGAGCTAGGTGAAATTGAAGTGCAGTAGTAGAACCCCCCTCTATCAAAATAATGTCCATTGTGCTACATTTCAAGCATGTTTGTTTAGCTCACAGTGCAGAGGACAGCCCTTCAAAAGCTAAAGTTCAGCATGTGGATGCACCCCTTAGTGATGCAGAAAAAACAGATAATAAAGATGGGGAACTGACAGAGACTATGCAAGGTAAGAAGAAAAATTATTTCTTTTATTGTTTTTTTTAACTTTCACCAGTGCATCAATTATGTACTACTACATGTGCCTGTTCATGCCTTCCACAGAGTTAGAAAGGTGAATTTGCACAGTTGTGTGGATGGCCTTGGGGTCTGTGGCAAAGGAAGGAATAATCCCAGTGTTTGTGAAGAAAACATTCTACTTCTACTGATTTTTAGGCTCAATTTTTATTTTACTTCTTCATAAGATACCTTATTTCCACCTTTAGACTTTATTGATGTTGTCTTTAGAAGTATTCTTTGTTTAGAATATTTTTTAAATTAAGCACTGGAAAAACATCACTTAATATACCTTTTTATTGTTTTAGATGAAAATAATGTTCAGGAGGAGAATGAAGAAAGGCAGGAAGAACAGGGAAAACCAGATGAAAAAGTTGAACCTAATAATGCTATTGAAAGCAGCAAAGACAATGACTCAGAATGGTAAAAGAAAAAAATTCACCACCTTCAAACCCATTTAAATTAACTTAAAGGAAAATGTTGTGCATGACAATTGTCTGTATTGGATTTGCATAGTAAAATCCATGTCTTCTGAAATTGTGCTGAGCCTTAAACTTCTGTAATTGACAGAAAACCTGGTGTATGTAAAGTGACCTCAGACTTTGCTCTGGGTGCAGCTGGCTCTTGTATTTAACTATTATCCTTAAGATATAGTTGTCATGTGCCGCTCAAAATGTTCCAAAATATGTCTCCTCAGGGTTTAAAACTGCCTCTGTCACAGGTTCATGTCAGATAGTTAAAGTGGTATGTGAACTGATTTTGGAAGGGAAAGACAATCAGTAGTAGTTGAAACAGTTGGGGTTTCTCCTTTACAAAGGAGAATAAGTGTTTCAAAGGAGCAGCTGTGTTCTAAAATGGTGAAACTGTGCTTGCTGCTTGTGAGCATCTTATTAGTAACAGAGTTGTGAGCTGAGTAACTGTCAGCCTTTGTGTGAGGAGGACATCTCCAGCATTGGTCATCTTCCTGCAGCACCAGGAGCCACAGGAGGGCATTTGGGAAGGGATATACAGGCATCAAGCCAGACACAGGACTTTTGTTCCAAGTTAGTTACTTGGTTTTTTTCTTAATGGCATTCCCTTGGAATGTGTTCTAACTTTAAACTAGTAGTATCTCTCCCAGACATGGAGGGCTAACAGCTTTTGCTTGTTCATTGTTAAAGAAGAAATCTTCATGTTCCTGAAGTACATTTTTTCAGACTTGCCTCTCTGTGGAACAAACCATTATGGAAAACTGTGACAGTGTTTGCAGGGGTCTTAGGATGAGGGAAGAGATGAGGATCTGACTCCATGTTTCTGAAGGCTTGATTTATTATTTTATTACATATATTATATTAAAACTATACTAAAAGGATAGAAGCAAGGATTTCATCAGAAGGCTAGCTAAGAATAGAAAAAGAAAGAATGATAACAAAGGCTTGTGGCTCAGACAGAGAGTCCGAGCCAGCTGGACTGTGATTGGCCATTAATTAGAAACAACCACATGAGACCAATCACAGCTCCACCTGTTGCATTACACAGCAGCAGGTAACCATTGTTTACATTTTGTTCCTGAGGCCTCTCAGCTTCTCAGGAGAAAAAATCCTAAGGAAAGGATTTTTCTGAAAATGTGTCTGGGACAGAAAACAATGAGTTGAAACTGGATTCAAGTCCAGGTTTATGAATCTTTGTGTTTACTTATTGGCTTTCAAATAAATAACAGTTCTGAATTGGAACCAGTCTGTGAAAACTTGAAGATTAGGAAATGAGTAAAAGCTCAGCTATCCACATCTGGAGATGCTGAGGACTATTTTTGCCTGGTACTGATCTTCATTGTGCAGTCTTGTGCTTTTAAATTTTAAGAACAGCTTCCTTTGGAATATCACTTAATGTTTTTCTTTTAATCTGGCTCAGATGGATTCTGGGTGACTATAAACAGCCAGGTGTTGCAGTGAGAGACAGACTTGGAAGTTAGTTACTAAACTAGGGCTTCAGCTTGTTCCTTTACTACTTATTTATTTATGTTTGTGAGACTGCTGAGAAGATATGAACTCAATATATAGTGTCTTAAAAGAACTAAGATCAGATCCTCACTGATAGCTTGTTTCCACTTAAAGATTTTGCAGTACCTGTCTGAGAATTTCTATGACTCCTCATTTCTTTGTAGTTAAGTTTCTGAACAAAGAGTCATCTGACGATATAAATTATTTTATCATCATCTGCTTTTACTAAACTTTTGATTCCTAAGAAACATTTCAAGGCAGAAGAGGGCTTAGGCTTGGCAGTCATATGCTTTTGGTTAATTTAAGAAACCAGCCACTCTCAGCCCTGGTTCCTGGGCTTGCGAAGGGTTGGAATGTATCTGTAGTAGTGGTAATGGCAGAACAGCACAAACATGGCACAGGAATGTTTTGCCATATGAATATTTTTATGCCCATTATTTGGTGACTGCATTATAAACCACTCATTTTTTATAGCTGAATTTTTTAAAGGCTAGTTTTTGAAGTGCTGATAAAAATCCAGCTGTAATTAGGAGCCTTGTCTCGCTGCAATGTGTACAAAAATCTTAGAGCTATTACCACCAATGCCAAGCTTTTATATTAACTCTGTGTTTTAGAGCTTATGTGCTAGATCACCACACTAAAACAAACCCACACAGCATACATAATTTTTATGATGATCTGGGATGACTGGGATGACTGGGATTGCTCTGAGGAAATAATATGTGACCTTTCTTTCAGAGTGTATCAGAACTACTGTAGTAGTAGTGTGGCAGGAATTTAAACTGATTAACAGTTATTGGTTGCCTACACATTTTTGCTGGATCAGCCAACTGAATGTTTTATTTATTCTATTTTAAGGTGTGAGACCAATAAACAATCAGAGGAAGAAAACACAGAAGCTCAGGTGAATATTTTTCTGTTAATGGGTTACTCCACTTTCCAAATATTTGGGGGATTAATTAGTATATGATTGGCAATGGTGTTTGCTTACTCAATATTATTCCAAATAAATTAGCTACAAAGTTACTAAGGCAAAACTATTAACAACAAGATTTTTTCATACTTTTTTATGGAAACCTATGTACACATTTCATAACAGCACAAGCAATTTGTATTGTAGAGTAACCATAGTTATTATTGTTTATTTGTATGTGCTGCATATAATAGATCTAAGGACCTCTTTTTATGTTAAGCAGCAAGAACTTACAGCAGATCCTGAAGAATTTACTAGTCAAGAAGAACTGTTGGGTTATTTGGTGAGTGTTAAATCCTACATTGCAAGATATTTTTTGGAAGAAAAATTAAAAAACTAAGAAATGAAATCACTGGTTTGCTAAGTCTAAAATGTAGCAAGCAATGAAAGGCAGAATGTAGGCAGTCTTGTAATCTAACAGATAACCATTTTGCCAGAAGGCAGGATTCAGAATAAAATGAATGTCACTGAATTTATAATGTGTCTATTAATTTTCAAGTTTCTAGACATTGCTTTTGCCAAAATATTGGTTTACTGTCAGAGGAATTACTTGCATTGAAAATTCATTTTTTCAACTGTATCTTAGCTTCACTCCTTAACTACATGTTTAGGTAATATGACCTTTTTAAACTTTATTTCTCTTTTGTTTCTATAACTGGTTTATAATTTTCAAATGAGGAATTTGGAAATCTGAAGTTCAGTAACAGAAAGAAGCAGAATGAAGACAAATATCAGAGATACAGAGAAAGGAAAGAAGGGATTTTTAAGAAATAAAATGCAAGTTGTGTATTTAAAACAGGGCTCCCCCATAACTACAAAATGTGCCTCTCTAAAGTAAGTGTCAGTACACTGGAATTCTGTTCAGTTGTTGAAAATGTGTATTAGGTACACATGCACAGCAATGATACTCTCAGTAACAGTGGAAAACTGTCCTTTTCCAGTTATTAGATGTATCAACAGCTGTTGTGATCTTGCATACAGAAATGGTGATTTCCATAAAAGCACTGAAATGGAAATCCTTACTGGTAGTTGCTTGACTGGTGTACTGCATGGTAATTTAGGCACTATTGACTATCATAAAATGGTTTTATCCTCTTGTTTTATAGGAAATTACTAGGTAGAGAGATTACACCTTGTCAATAAACTTGAATTTGTTTTGAGGCATCTTCTTTCTTAGTATGATTGTCCTCTGAGAAGAAAAGAGGACAATTGAGAATGTGATTGGAACACTATTCTGTTTTGCAAAGTGTGGAAATAGTTTATTTTTTCATCTAATGTAATTTTTTCAAAAGCTGCATTGTGGCCATAATTTACTCTTCTTTTTCCAGATAGGTTTTGAGATCTTCCTTAAATATAACTTGGGTAAACCAGGAGACAGGTGGTTTACCCATTATTAGTGGTAAAAATGTAATACAGTCCCTGTTACGCTGTCTCATATGAACTTAATGCTAAGTTTCTATTACTTATTTTCCATTGTCTGGTGTGTTTAAAGGTGCTTGTTTCTAATCCAGAAGACTTTGAACTGTTAGGACACACCTGGAGTTTTTTGCTTTGTCCCCAAGAATGTGTTTTCAGCAGAACTTCCTTGGTGTAGACAAGAGGATGACAAATGTAGCCCTCTCTGTGAGTGCTGTTGGTGCTGGAACTTGCTTCCCTAGTACAGCTTCACAGCTTCAAGATTGCTTTTTCTGTAGACTTTTAGGAAAAAATAAGGTTAATGTAAGGCAAGGTAGCATGTACATTTAAATTCAGTAGCATTCTGGCTTTTTGCTACATTCTAGAGAAATTGGTTATGACTATGTTGCCTCAGGGAAGGTGTACACATTCATTTGTATGCAGGCATCTTGGCAAGAGATCAAAATACTTAAGGAAAAGCATTATCTTCTATATATTTTCAGGCATATTTTTGTTTTATTCCTTTTCAAATGATTGTGTTGCAGAGCTGCATCTTCCTTCTCTTAGATTTCTCTTTCATTCTACCTTCCTTCCCCCAGTTTATGGGATTAAAAATAAAAACTGTATTTGCTTTGTAATTCCATCCAAGTCTGACAGAAGGGTAGAGACACAGAGAAAATGAGGTTCCTGCAGGTTTGTTTACAAATTTTGATACTTCAGGTTTTCTGAGGAAAAATGTTTTATGGTGTGTTGTTTTGCTTCTTCTTCCCCTAGCAAAGTTTTGAGATACTGAATGAAGATGATGCTTCATTTATCCTGAAAGTTACACAGACTCTCACAAATGCACTGGTGGAATACCGTCAGCAGGCTGCATCAAACAAAGTAATGTGGATTTAGTTTTGGTTTGTTCTACAAACCTTTAGATTCCTGTGATTGTGCATTTTTATTTTTAGCGATGATACAATAAAACAAAAATACTGTGAAGACTGTATTGTAAGTTTTGCTCGTTAAATACAGAAATTTTGGTAGTGATGATAGGGTAAAATTTTAGCTTTTCTGTTGACAAGTCTAAATTTTTGTTCAACAGTGCTTGCTTATTTTTTATTGTTGATAGAAGGTAAAAATCATCTTGTCACTTATTTCCCATGTTTTTCTGCTACTTTTGCCCATTTTTAATTCTGACTTAAGCTTTTCTCATCTCTACTGACTTGCATAACACTCCTGTTCTGTATCCTGTTTCTGTTCCCAGACTTCACTTTATTCACCATGCATCAGTGATGTGATTTTTTTTTTCTTATACAACTTCTGGTCCTACTCTTTGGACTGTTCTTTCTAATGTCTCATTCTTCTTCCATTATTAGAAACCCAATTTTTCCCCTCTCTGCTATTACTTCTGACTGACTTGTCTTTACATAAGCAGTACATATGGAGGTGTTTTGAATACTTTTCTGAGGCTGCTGACATTGTTACAAAATAATGAAGTTCTAACTAAAATAACTGTCAACCTACAAGGTGTGGAGGACCAAAATGTTTTCCTACATTAGGCCTTGTTAGTATTCTAAGCTGTGATCTTTCAACTGGTAATTTTTTTTTAGCTAAATCTTCTATTTTGAGTGTAAAATGCTTCCTTTTGAAATCTGACAAGTTGAGAATTAGGCTCAATGAGTATCACTTCTTTGCCTAAGACAGAGGTTTTTCAGACATAGAGAAATATGATGGGCAGTGTGTACAGAGAAGTTATTAGCCCTATGATTTGCAAAGAAATATGTGATTTTTCAGATTTGGTTGCAGAAATACTGGTCTTTTATTTGGTTTGTGATCATTAAAAATGTAGTAGTTCATTGTTCCAAGAGGTTGTCCTGATGAGATTTTAATTATTTTTATTTTTTTTAAACTCACAGGACCACCTAAATGCTGGATATAATGGAGAAGCAGCACTAGAATATTCCACAGAACAGCCTGGCCCAATTTCAGCAGATATTAGTGACTCTGACACTGGTAATGTTGGCTTTGCAGTCTTTAATATAGTTTAATCTTAATATTAAATGTTGCATAAATGATAGTAAGCCTTTCTTCCTGCTTTTCCAAAGCAGTGGTTAAGAGCACAATAAAGCCAGAGTCAAGTAGCATAAATGAATAGTTTGGGGGGTTTCCCCCATTCTCTACTAATATTAGAAGACAATTAAAACACACTGATCCTACTTAACTGTAGGATTTGGGGAGAAATTGAGTTAGTACCAACTCTGACTATCCTGTCCTCTGTGTTCAAAGACACCTGTTTCTAAGGAGACTTTCAAAGTATCTTTGGCTTTTTTTTCCCCCAATATTTTTTTTCCCTTCTTGATGGAGGAGATGTTTCCTGCAGGTTTAGTCAAATCAAGATGTTAGTAGAAAGTTATGTGGCAGAGGATGAATAATTCTCTTTAATACCTGCATACTTCAGCTACTTGGGCTCAGTATTTCTGATTAATTTTTTCAAACAATCCTGGATTTCTTGGAGGTCATTTTCTTCTGATAGAAACAAATGGCTGTTTCTTAAACTTAGGAAGTACAACCCTATGCTTCGAAAGCCAAGATTCCTGGAATACTAGGGAAGTTATTCTGTGTGATTTTTTTTTTCTGTACTGTGTCAATTTTCTAGTTTTTCTAGAAAGTTTAGCTTTTGAAAACCTTAATTTTTACAATGGTAATACCAAAAATTGCAGTGACTTTGAATATGTGAGATTTGAGACTTTTATTCTGTTTTTGTAAGTGTAATGGAAATAGCTTTCACCTACTTCCCCACCGTTGTTTCTCCAGGATTTTTCTGTAACTGGACAGCATTCCTGACTCTTGGTGGTTTGAAAATGCAGCAAAGTCAGGTGTGAAAAAGCCCTGTTTAGAGAAATAAGGTGATGAAGGCTCTTCAGAATCCTCTTTTACTGAAAAACAATATTTCCCTTCTTTAGACTACTCAAGCAGCTGGTCAGCTAAGCAGTTCTTACCAGCCAATGAAGATGGAGCCCAGAACTTTTCAAGTGGCTCTTTGGAAACAGCATATGAGAACAACATCACAACTGAATTTTTGAAGAGTGTAAGAAACATGAATGCTGAGGAAGTTACTGACACCCTACACAAAATAGCAGCATCAAATCCAGCTTTCAGAGGTAATTTACATACACATGTACACACACACATGTGTACATATATAAACATATACATAACATCATTTATTAGCTCTGGGAAATATTGAGGACTTATATGGGTCAAAGAACTTTGAGGTATTAGGGAGAGTTGAAGAGAATTCTTTTTTCCCACCCTCTAACTTTTGCAGGATCCAGTTTAGGAATGGTAATTCAGAATAACTGCTTTCCCATACAGGCATTAGTAATTGCTGATTTTTTAAAAATTCTTCTCTCATTTTTGCATAGTAACATTTGCATGGCAAGAGACAGTGAACTAAAACCAAATATATTGTTATTAAAGAATTAGAATCTTCTCTGAGCTGTAAGTGGAGAAATGCTAGTTTTGTGAATACAACAGTGAAGAATTTTTTTATTTACCAGTTCCTGAAAGAAGTGTATTTGCACAGTAACATAGAAATAATAATGAATCAGAGACAAGTAGTCTCCCTTTTGCATACAACTTTCTAATAAGTGTCAGCTATTAAACCTTCCCATGTCTTCAGTCAACTCCTGCTCTCTCTTCAGAAGCTTCCTGTGTATGTTTCTAAGCTTCTCAGAGTGTGTAACCTCACAAAGGTTAAAAAATGAACCCTAAAGATGAGTACATTGTAGGAAAGCTAACAGTTTCCAGGCACATTCTTATTGTTCTCCATTAAGGTATTTTTCTTTTAATAAGGAAAGATCCAAAACTCATCTCAGCATCTGAATGTTTCAGTATAACCTGTATTTTTAAATGAATTTTATCATAAAATTGCTTGTTTTTTGATTTTGTTTGTTTGTTTGCCTTTAACTAAGGAATCGATATACCAAATGTTATAAGGATCCTGACTGAAAGTGGAACTCTGAGGGGACCAAGCAATGGCAGCACACAGTGCCATGGTACTTAATAGAGATAATGCAGCAATGTTTACTTTCTCTAAGTTTGTTGCTTTACTTCATTTGACCTCATGGAGTTATTTTGTTTTACATTTAAGTTTTGTACAGTGCTTTTTTATATTAAATTAATAACTTGCTGTTGATGTTCTTGTTATTTATTTTTCAGTTCATTTAGCTGAAAGTTCTATATTGTGGAAAGGTTGTAAAGCTCATGCTCATTCTTTTAGTGTTAAGACAGCTTTTTAAAACAGATAACTTGCTTTCTTCAGTATTATTAAATACATTGACAGTCTGAACTTTTCTTAATGTTGGTTCTTTTACAAAGAATTATCAGCAGAATGAACTACTGCACTCAGCAGTACAAACTCCTCCTACAACAAATGCTTGGAAGTTATTCCCTGTGGCTGCTGGGACTGACTAAAAAGCCTTTGTAATAAAAACTCTTTCCCATATAAGGGTTATGAACAAGTCTCCATATCTTTTTCTTAATAAGATTAAAAATACTAATGAAAAGTCAGCGCTGTCAGTCTCTTGCTGAGATGAGAAGTGCCTGGATTATAGCTGATTTAAGGAGCATAGAAGCTCAGCAATGTTAGTAGAAGTTTGCAAATTTAGAGATATTTCCCAACAGGAAATATAAGCAGGCTCTGGCTTAGAGGCACTGATGTGGTGGCAAGAGTATCTTTTGTCTTTTATCCTGCCAGTATGAGAATGAAATGAAAGCTGGCTTACCCTGTCCTTCAGGCTCTTTTAACATGAGTATTTTTCCAACTAAAGTAGTTCTGGTTCTGACTGAGTGTACATGTCTATATATTAATGACTTCTACTTTTGTAGGAGGGTGAAAAAATGTTTTGAATGGTTATAGATTAGTTTGCTTGGGAAAAAAAATTTTTTTAAAGTGATTAAAATTCAATTCCTGCTTGTGATGCTGGGTAGCATTCAGTGCAGTGGTTCTAATTAAAGCTCTTCAGCTTTGCAGCCAAATACTGATGTAACTTAGACATGCTGGGGCCAGATGGCATATGAACTTTTTAGTGTTAACTTACATTTTTTTTTGAGATCTGGATGGAATTTGAGAATTCTCATCCTGATGGTTTCACATCTTCGTACCATGGAATGCAAGATGCAGTAAAACTAAGGTAACAAAGAAAGCAGCAACAAAATTTATGAGTTTTATTATGTGAATGGACCCAGGAAGGAAAACAGTTCACAGAAAAATTAAAACACTGTGTTTTAAAGAAACTCTGAGGAATTTCTGGAATGCATCTAAATCTGTTCTTATCAGAGGCAGAGATGGAACCAGAGTTCTTACAGTTCATTTACTCTGTATAGGAACAATTTTAATGCCTGCTTAATGGAGGTGAACTTAATCAGCAAAAATTCTGAATTCTGAAAATAAAAATAGAAACATCTTTTTCCTGTTTGTTTTCAAGATGCAGAACAATCTTGTATTAAAATAACAAAATCAGAATATTCAGCTGTTGTAAATGGCCATCTCTGAGACAGCTTCTTTTTCCTCTTACTGTGGAATCATTTCAAGTGGAAATAAAGTTACAATAAAGTTGAAATAACTTGGATTTGAGGTAATTTTTTTGCTTGGGTACAGGAGGAGCATGCTGAAAAAGGAGAGACCCCTAAATCTGTAATGCACTGACATAAAATGGTTGAATGGCATCCTGCAGAGTGCTGCTGTGCCTCTGAAAGACAGCTGAGAAGCCTGAACTGGATAAGAGTCAGCAAGTGAATGCTTCTGGAAATGTTTTCAAAAAACACAATCCAACATAGTCCATCCAGCTGTACAATTATTTTTATTTTTTCCTTTCTTACCAGGTGCAAATAGAGGCTGAAGAAGCATTGTATTATTTTGTTCTTTTATCTGTCTCTGTTTTGTGATGGCTTGGTGTATTCTTATACTAATGGAAAACTGTATATTTGTTCCAAAATACATTTTAATGTTTTACTTGTGCCAGTACTGCAAAATAAGGAAGAAAAAGAATGATTATATTTACTGTTAATATTTAATCAATGCTGTTGGTGGGATTTAATATTATATTTTTTGGGTTTCTCACAATAACAGCAAGGCAGACTTCTGAGGTAACTAGAGAATTAATAAAATTAGAAGTTAAGCAATAACAAAAATTAAATCAAGAGAAAATTAATTTTCTGTAAAGCTTCATCTCGGTTTTTACATATTTTACTGAGACCAGAGAGCTGCAAGGAAATAATTTTTAACAAAAAGCTGCAGAACTCCTACTCCTCACAGAAGGCACAAAGGGGAAGGGAGAAGGGTGTTCACAGGTTAATTGGCAGGAAATGAGAAGTTTAGAGCTTGCAACTGCAGAGTTACTGTCTCCTGTGAATTGAGACCTTGTTGTAGACAGGTGTGGAACATCCTCCTTGTTTGTTGCTTCCTGGGTCTCCCAGGGTTTCGTGCTCTCTTTCTGATATAGAAATTCATTACCCCTTTGGAGCAGCAAGCTTTATCTGGGTATGCATGTACAAAAGCCTGCAGCATGCCTCGTGGTTTATATGTGAAATAATAACCTTGTGTGTGTGAAATAATAACAATAACTTCAAATTGTAGTGCTGACTCTGCAGTGCCTTCACTGGAAGAATCACAGAATCAATTAGGTTGGAAAAGGTCTCAGATCAAGCCTAACCCATGACCCAACACCATCATGTCTACTAAACTGTGGCACTCCTCTCTTTCCTTAAATACCTGCAGGGGTGGGGACTCCATCACCTTCCTGGGCAGTCCATTCCAATGTTCAATGCTTTTCAGTAGAGAAATTCCTCCCAATGTCCAACCTAAACTACCCCTGACACATCTTAAGACCGTGTCCTCTCATCCGGTTGCTGATTGCCTCGGAGAAGAGGCCGACCCACACCTGGCTACACTCTCAGGTGGTTGTAGAGGGGGATAGGGTCCCCCCTGAGCCTCCTTTTCTCCAGGTTAAATAACCCCAGCTCCCTCAGCTGCTCCTCACAGGACTTGTGCTTATCTGGGTACTGGTTATTATTAATGCATTCTTCTTTCTGCTGTGGTGCCTGAGCAGCCATGCTTCAGGGGAGGGGAGTTCATCTTCACAGAACCCCAGAGTAAACCAAGGTGGAAGGGACCCACGGAAATCACCAAGTTCAGCTCCTGGCTGGGGATATATCCTGCACTGGACACCCCAAGAGCCACACCATGTGCTTGAGAGCCTTGTACAAACACACCTTGGACTCAGGCTTGGCACTGTGATCACTTCCCTAGGAATCCTGTTCCAGAGCCCTGCCACCCTCGGCGTGAAGAACCTTTTCCTAATATCCAACCTGTGAAAAATGCCAATCACTTGTTTTTAAAAGTTTAATAGTAATAAAATGGTTATAAAAATAGTAATACAATTAGAGTAATAATAATTTGGACAATTTGGATTAGGACAATATGAGACAGTAGACACAAAGAATTATGGACGCCCAGGTACCTTTTTCTGGGCAGCACAAGCCTGAAAAAGGACACACGTTAACAAAGGATTAACCCTTAGAAACAACAGCCTGTTGCATGTTCATACACCTCATACGTGATGCATAAATTCCATTCAAACACAGGATTCTGTCTGGTCAGTGTCAGCTTCTTCCCCTGAATCCTAACAGTGCCTCCAAGGTGGGAAGAAGTTAGTTTCTTCTGGTAAGAGTGCAATAAATTCTTTTTCTCTGAAAGATTTAGGTGTCCTGTGGCTGCTATCTTGCTGCAAGTCCTTTCTTTAAAAAAGTATCCTACATAGCATAGTTTCTATTTTAACACTTTTTATAACCTAAAACTATATTTAACACACAACTTAAGAGAATTAACACAGCATTACTTTCTAACACAACACATATAATATTCATTTTTTAATATTTGCCAAAACCTGTCACAGACATATTTTCTGAAAAATCCTTTCCTTAGGATTTTTTCTCCTGAGAAGCTGAGAGGCCTCAGGAACAAAATGTAAACAATGGTTACCTGCTGCTGTGGAATGCAACAGGTGCATCTGTGATTGGTCTCATGGGGTTGTTTCTAATTAATGGCCAATCGCAGTCAGCTGGCTTGGAGTCTCTGTCCGAGACACAAACCTTTGTTATCATTCTTTCTTTTTCTATTCTTAGCTAGTCTTCTGATGAAATTCTTTCTTCTATTATTTTAGTATAGTTTTGATATAATTTTTATAATAAAATAATAAATCAAGCCTTCTGAAACATGGAGTCAGAACCTCGTCTCTTCCCTCATCCTCGGACCCCTGTAAACACGGTCACAAAAAGCCAATCATAAAATACGCATTTTTCACAAACCCAAACCTCCCCTGACACAACCTGGGGCCATTCCCTCGGGTCCTGTCGCCGGTCACCACAGAGGAGCGATCAGTTCCCGCCCCTCCCGTTCCCCTCACGGAGGGGGCACCCCCGGGGCCGCCCCTCCTGCAGGGGGCGCCAGCGCGCGCGGCCGCGGCGGAAGCGCGCGTGCCCCCGGCTCGCGGGGCGGGCACTGGCGGCGCCGCTCACGTGGGCGGCCGCTTCCGGGCAGGCTCTCGGCGGGGGCGGAAGCGGGGCTGGCGCTGCCGCGCGCGTGGTTGGTGAGTGAGGGAGCGAGCGGCCGCGCGCGGGCCGGGCGGGAGGAGGCGGACGGGGAGCGGGATCGGGATCCCGAGCCAGGCGCGGTCCCTCTCGGTCCGGCCCTGCCGGCGGGGCTCACCGCGCTCGCCCGGCCCCTGCGCCAAGGGCCGCCCGCCTTTTGTGCGACCCGCCCTCCCTCACGTTCCTGCGCCAGGGAGGCGGCGGGAAAAGCGGGAGCCGCGGCGGCGCGGGCCGGGTGCCGCTCCCGGGGAAACCGGCGGCATCGGCTCCGCCGCGCGCCGCCGCGCGCCGCCGCCCCTGCCCTACCTCCCCTGGCGGCTTCTTCTCGCCGCCGTTCCCGCCTCGCCCGGCGCTCCCCGGGGCCGAACGCGCGGCCTCCCCGGCGCCGGGCCGGCACTGACGCGCCTTTATTTGAACGCCTCGCAGAGCGGCTGCAGCGGGGCGGAGGGAAGCGGCGTTCGGGGAGCGAGCCGAAGGATGTCCCGGGACGGCGAGGAAGGCAGCGTGACCGCCTAGAGCCGCGGGAGGAACGGCCGCTCCGGCGCTCGGGTACGGCGGGCGCGGCGCGGGCTCGGGCGGCGCGGTGCGGTCCCGGCGGCGGCGGCGGGGGATGCGCTGGCGGCGCGGGAGCCGCGCGGAGGTGATCGCCTGTAAGTATCGCTGTGCCGTGCCGGGAGAGAGCTCGCCCGCGGGGAAATGCGTATCTGATCGGAGGAGTCGGGTAGGGCGTGTGCCTTGCCTTCGGGTTTCTCAGGATTTTCCTGACTGAGCATGGTTGTGAGGTTCCCGAGCGATGCTGCTTGAGAGCTGTGAGGGAGTGAAACCAGAATCATTTGGTTGGAAAAGAGCTCCAAGATCATCAGGTCCTACCTGTAACCGAGTATTTTTTCTGAGCCTAAGGTGAGGGTGCCTGAGTGACATTAGAAGTGGTGTCTGAAAAGCGACGTATGCTGCTTTATGTTCAAGGAACCCTGCATCGATTGGACGTTGTTTTAATGTTTTGGATTGTAAAACCGTGTTAGTGCTGAACTGTAAGGTGCTCAGTCTCTCTGGAGGAGGGCCAGGTGAAAATACACAGAATCACAGATTCGTTAGGGTTGGAAGGGACTTCTGGAGATCATTTAGTCCAGTCCGCCTGCCAAGGCACTATAACCTAGAGCAGGTGACATAGGAATGCATCCAGGTGGGTTGGATTGTCTCCAGACACCTTCCTGGGCAGCCTGTTCCAGTGCTCTTGTACCCTTAAAGTAAAGAATTTCTTCTTCATGCTGAGGTGGAATTTTTTTTTTTTTGGCGTATGGCTGTTGCTCCTCATCCTGTTGCTGGGCACCACGGAAAACACTCTGGCACCATCCTATTGGCACCCATCTTGGAGAAATTAAAATGCAATAATGGAATTCCCTCTCAGTCTTCTCCAGACTAAAAAGGCCCAGCTCTCACAGTCTCTCCTTGTAAAATGCAGTTGTTTCAGCAAGAAGCTTCATTGAAATGGTTACATAATTTCATCAGCTGTAGACAGTTTTGTCTGATGTCTTATTATGTAGCCACTGTGGAGCTTATATCCTTATATTTTGTAAGGATTTTATCCTTTGGTATAGTGTGGTGCTTATGAATTGGAAATGGATAGGCTTAGATTACCAGTTATTCCCAGAATATTTATTGTGAGGTAAACTGTGCTGCTTTTAGCAGGAGAAAGGATATTTTACAAGCCTGCTCCTTTAAAAGAACTCAATTGCTCTGTTCAGTTGTGTGCACACCTGTATTGTGAAGTTTTTATGCTGACTGGAAGCCAGACATCTACTCTTGTAAAAGCAAACCTTGTAAGTGGAAATAACTTCTGTGCCAAAAGCTTCTAGCTGTTTCTATATATCAAGTGGTGAAATTCTTGTAACTCTTTCCTAAAAAGATGCATATGGTAAAAATCAAACGTTTATAAAGCCATGGTTGTTATAGTTGTTGTTATATAGACACTAAAGGACCTTTTTCTTTTGGCACCAGGCTCCAAGTTTTTTAAAACCTTTTCAGTTCATAGCTTACTTGTGCCAAATTTGTACTTCAGTTAAAGTGGTCTTGCATATGATTTTTTAACCTAGTGTGTGAAAAGCAAAATTAAATTGCAGTCAATTGTTGATGTAATCAGTTGTTTAAATTTTTATAAAATAATAAAAAATTATGGTTTGTTTTAAAACATTCTTTAATGATTATCCTGTTAATGTATATATGAAATACTCTAGTACAGCACAAATTTCAGCTTGAAGTCTATTGGGCAAATCGGCTGTAGGAATGATGATCACATCCACCAGAAGAGAATCATTATTTGGATATCTTCTTTAGAAATTTCTGGGTTTAGTCAGTTGTATTGTTGGGGTTTTTGGCTTGGGTTTTTCTTGATTCAGGTTTTTTTTTGTGGGGAAAGTGGATGGTGGCTTGTTAGGGTTTTTTTGAGAGGATTAAATAAATCTGTGGTGTAGTGTTTGTTGGGGCCTTTTCAGTGTGTTCATGTTTTTTTTAAGTTGGTAGATGTGTACTTCAGTATCAAAACAGAAAAAAACCAAAAAGCTATTCAGAAACTTACGGGAGTTTTAATTTATTTTGGTTATTGTACCTCTATTCCAGTATGTTTGTACAGCTTACAAGTACAGTGGCTCAGATATCTCATTTCTTATGTCCTATTAAAGATGTTTTTGTTTTCCTTTTTTTTCAGTCCGTAGTTGCCCATTTGTCCTCTTCTTTCCCCCTGCTTCTAGTTATATTTAAATGCACAGCCTGGTATTTTCAGTGTAAGATTCCTTAGGTGTTTTGTGTCCTTTTATGGGTGGAGGCCTGTTTAAACCTGTGAGTGTCCATGTGCAGGCTGTGTGCTGTGAGTGATGGGCTTGGTGAGCAATGTGCACCTGAAAGGGAACGGTTCGCTGAGCTCCTTGGCTTGACAAGAACTGAGCATGTAAAAAGTTGTTTTGTT